TTTAAATTAAATGCTTAATTTAATTTAACATTTTAACTTAAAATGTGAGCATGCTAATTGATACTGTAAATTATGCATCTGTTATACATTTCCAAACAGATATTCTATAGAATTCCTATACAACTTCTAAAGCAAATGTTATAGACGTCTATAGAATTTTCTATAGAATTTCTATACAGCTTCTAAAGAGAATGTTATAGATTTCTATAAAATTTTTCCAGAAATATGAAGCATAATTATTTGCGACAAAATGATACACATATTAAACTCTGCATTATTTAGTTACTCAACATCAGACCATGAGCCAAAAGCAATAGTTTTATTTATTATTTTATTATTATTATTTAATAATCATGTTTCATATTCAAAACCAAGCTTCTGCAATAACACATTTATTGAAAATCCACTGTAGGTTACCAATACATAAATTGTGCACAAACTAATTTTTTATAGAGTGGAATACAACATTCTATAGAAAATATTAAAATTCTATAGAATGCGTAAACTCTATAAAACATTTCTATAGAATTTTTTGGCCTCTATAGAGTTACATAGAACTCTATATAAAGTTCTATAGAATTCTATAGAGCTCTGTAGAACTTTTTTGTATGGGTCACCAAAAAATGAAATATTTATTTGATAAGAAAAATATTAATAACTACAAGTTTTTTGGGTATAAATTTGATAAAACAACTTAAGATTACCAAATGCATCTCCACACCCTACAAATTACAAGACCAAAAGGTCAAAAGACAATGTGAAGATCACAGATAATTGTGTTGTGTATTGTTCAGTATTTAGGCACAGACACAGAGGTATATGCACTCTTAGAGGGCTGCTCTATATTCTCTTGTGTTACGTTCAGTACTATGTATATTCATTCACCATCTAGACTGTTGTTTCTGGTTTTCCCCTATATCTATATTTAATTTATACAGTATGTACTATTGGAATGTAGCAGAACCAAGAAAACAATGGCCTATTGTTAAGGGCACACATAGTGTGTAATCAAAAAGTTTAACCATGCTTGCTGTTTTTACTAAATTAATAAAATGCCACAATCTCTACTTTTATTATCATTCATCTGTAAACTAAATCAGGAACTAAAAATCTTATAATTCCTGCCCCTATGAGGTGTAACCTGTGCATGGAAGCTTTCACATAAATTGTGGTATGTATAAATTATTTGGTTAATTTTTACTATCTGAGTGACTGTAGTACTGTACATTTTCTCTAGTGAAACAATGTTCTCCCTCAAACTGTGAAATTATGCACAGTAGATGAAACTAAAGAGGCACTGACTTCTGCAGGGTCAAATTCTATACAGACAAATTCTGCACATCACACCCTTGCTATTACCATTACAGCCCTAGTTTCACTGAAAAAAGCACTGATGTCGGGTTGCTTTTTTTCATAATTTTCTTTATTATGATTTCATTTTTGTTTTTAATGTATTTTTTATTTATAACTTTTTAATGATACTTTTTTTGCAAATTCAACGTTAAATTTTTTACTGCAAGTTAACCTTAATACAGTAAATATCCAAGTGATTCCAATACGGTCCAAGAATTTAACTGAACTATACATTTTTTTTAAACTGGTCAAATCCAGGGTCTATGCAAATATAATTAAAAGCTACTTAATAATAAATAACAATTCATAATTATTTATTAGGTGATACGCTGCTACACCTATGGTTTTTCTTATGATTTGTTTTTTACTTTATTTATTTATTTCTTCTTTTTATATTCTTTTCCCCCTTTTTCTGTTTGCGGCTTTTCTCAAAAACAACACAGGCTCTATCCTTGCTAGTTGGCCAGCATATAGGTCTATATCTGAAGTTTTGCATGCGACTTTTTTGGTGACTTTACAGTCTTTTGACGTCATCTACATGCCATTTTGTGAAATTTTATGATTGATCATAAATTCCTAACCGACAGGCATTTTTTAATGAAACTTGGCACAAGTATACTTCATATCAAGCGTCAACTTTTCATCCTCGTCAACATCTGCGTGTGCATCACTGCTTCCGCGTACATGTGCGTTAAAATTTCAAAATGCTCAAAATCATTTTTTGACCGAATCAGAGTACGTTTTAGGCAATTTTGAGCATTTCAAAATTTGTCACTCCGTGCGCGAATTTTCAAGCACACAGCATGTACGGAAGCTCAATTTCAATTCTTTTTCAGTCATTTTAGGACCTAAACAACGCTGTATGCACGCATGAAACATACAAATTTGTGTGCACATTTGTGTCAACATACTGACACTGTATTAACAAATTTACCTAACTTTTTTAATGCCTGGTTTGATTCTGATACCAACAGCCTCCTTCATGATCAATCATTCCAGAATTATAAAAATAGAGATCATGTGATCACTACCGTATCCGTGTATCATCTAAAATTCGTCGGTGACAAATTTAAATCTAGTTAAAATGTATTTCTTAATTATACACTAGTTAGAATCTCTCCAGTGTCACTACTGTTCACAGACTGGGCCCAGTTATGCTTTGTGAAGTCTCTTAATATTATAGAGTGTAGCAATATTTGTTGTAAAAATATTTCAAATTGAATTTTTTTTCTGTGTAAAATATGTGTATGTTGAAAGCAAATTTGTATGGTTTCCAAATTTTCCCTTCAGATGAAGACATTCTACCAGTTACCTTCCAGGTTGATTTTAGAAGACACTACATACAATACACATTCAAGATAATCGATTCTTTAAGAAAAATAAAAAATGTCTAGAAAATGTGTGTTATCATCTATTATAATACTAGCTACCACTCTGCAAGTAATGTCATACAGTGTAATACTTTCTCCAGAATATTACTGTCGATGTTGGTATTCATTCAGTTACATTTACCTGTACAATAAAATTGGGGTTATTTGAAATAATTAGTGAAAATACAATGATAATATGGTGGAATGACAATGACATGGTATTAGGTAATTCTTCGAAGTACAGTGTTAATGGAGTATCATCTTCAGAGAATAACTACACACAAAGTTTACAAATTATGACATTGAAGAAACTGACCATGGCATATACACATGCACTTTACTTTTCCCTTCATATCCACCTGACAATATAAAACTGTCTACACTTATTATAAGGAAACTTATTCCTCAACCTATCTGCTCAACTACTTCAGGTGAACCTGGACAACAGATAGTCTGTACAAGTTCACCAAGTGATCCTCAAATAACCTTGACCTGGATTGATAATACTGGTGGTGTTTTGACATCCCAATCTCAGTTAACATTTAATGAAACGTTATCATTATCATGCACATCCATTGAATCAAGCAACCAGTGGTTCACATGTAGAGCCACCAGTGCAAGATCAACAGATGCAAAGGAATGTGACATTGGCTATCAGACTTCAAATGACAACAAGAAAAAGAAAACAAGCAAAGGAAAATGTCCTCTCTTCTAAGCAGAACAATAATACAGTTATTGCTATATTGTCCATCATTGGAGCTGTAGGTATATTGGTCAGTGTGGCATTATCATGTTACATATTTACCAATAGAAGACAAAATGAAAATGGAAATCAACTGGACGAAGATGGGTACATGGATTTACCTGCACACAATCCAGATTATTATCAAGAACTCAATAGGCCTATATAACATTGAATACGATTTATGATTCAAGATTTAATTTGTTTAAATTTACTTTATTGTTAGAGTTCTTATATGTTAGAAAAGTATATACATTAGAGATACGGCTTAAATTCCCCCACTATATAATTTTTGGTTTTACTTTTAATATTTTCAGATTAAATTATTGAAAAATCTTTAGGTATAGTAATTTTGCATATGGAGCTTCTTTTATTCTGTATATTTAAGTATAGTTATATAGTGGTTTTAGCCATCGCAGCTATTTCGATTTTTCCTTAACAAAAAATAAATATCT